TTATAGGCTCCTTTGAGGTTGAGGGCTGTAAACCAGTTAGCTTCGTGGAGGAGTCGTCTCATCTTATTAATAAGCAGTAGTAGGTAGCAGTTCTTAATCGTTATTTTGTTAAGCATGCGGTAGTTAACGCATAATTGTAGTTTTCTATTCTTTTTATGTATGAATAGGATTAGGCTTCCTGCTGGTGATATTGAGGGTCTGATGTATCCCTTCTTAAGGTTTTCTTCAAGGTACTTATCTAGGGCTTCTATCTCTGTCTGGTTAAGTCTGTAGATTTTGTTGAAGTGTAGTTCCTTCCCCTTTTTGAGGGGTATTTCGTGGTCGAAACTGATATGTTCAGGCAGTCTGGTTTCTAATTCAGCTGCAAAGAGTTTCTCATAAACTCTGTATTCTTCTAGGATAGACAGAAGTAGATCGTTCTTCTGTTTAAGATCTATCGTTATCAGTGGTTATGATACGGCTTCTTTTGCCTTGAGGTAACAGAGGTATCGTTTTGCTGTTCCTTGTCGTATTGATTCGTTTGAGGCCTGATTCTGATAGGGCTGCTTAGGGACTGAATTATTATGGTCCTAATAGAGTTAGCCTTTGCTCTAATCTATCTGTAGGTTGCTTATTTATAGCTAGGGTAGTCCTAGCACTATGTCGTATATTCCTAGATCAGCAATATTAAATTAGATTCTTTCTTTTCGATTTAGGTAGCTCATCTTAAGGGGCGCAGTCTTATTATAGATGGTACCTCCTTCATACTTGAATTCTTCTCCTTCTGCTGTGTGTAACTGATATGGTTGTTCTTTTCCTCCCTATCGTATTTCTAGCCTATTGATGGCTTAGGGGGCAATAAAGTTTGCTTCAGCTCTGCTGTCGATCAGCATGAGTGTTGTCTGCTGGTTGATAGTAACTTTAAGTTTGATATTACCCTTATATCCTTATGATATTTAGTGAATAGATCTTATGTTTGTTGCCTGTTATGATCTGTTATTAGTAGGTGAGTCTAGTTTTTTGACTGCTCTGGTTATCCTGGGTAGGTGATTTGCTTTCCCTCTCGTTATGCTTTTGCAAGGCTGTTCTCATGGATCCTAACCTGTGGGGGTCTAGGTCTATTCTTTGCGATTCTCTAGGCTTATGCCTTTTCTTAGTAGTAAACTTAGTATTCGTCTTATTAGCATTCATCCTATTTTATGCTGTCATTATGTTAACATCTTATAGGGAACTGAGGACTAGGTCTGAAGACTGTAAGGTTATCTTCAAATAATACTATAGTCTATCTAATCATAATAGAGGTTAAGTAGATCTCATAGATAGGCTTATTGTTATATCTTCTGGGATAGAACTAGTAGTCATGCTTTTCTCCTATATATTCCTTGCATTTGTTATGGAAGCACTAGGGCCAGAAGAGGGTTCAGTGAAGCTAATGGTTGCTTCTCAGCGCGGGATGATCTTCCGTGTGTAGCTGAGGGGTGTAGCCTCAGTCTCGTTAGGCTGCTGAGGTGCTATAGAAATAGCGTTATTGCTTATCTTGAAGTATGTCGATTTCTTAGTATCTCAGAAGTTGCTTGATTCTTCCTTCCTGGTCGTTAGGTTCCTCTTTAGAGCTGGAGTCGTCCATGTTAGGGGTGAACCTATAGGCGATCTCTATCTGAGTGCGTTATTAGGCAACGTTGCGAGGTTTATCTAAGTTATAGGAACAGCTTTCTCCTTCTCCAAAAGTCTAGTTGTTGGTTATACTGAGGAGTTGTTGTTCTATCAGAGGATCGTATTAGTGTTCTGGTTCTTCTTCTGATTCTTATTGTTAATATAGTCGTACTTATCTGTCGTCTTCTTACTGGATTAGCTCTATTTCCTTCTTGATTTATTATTCTTCATAGTGGAGCTGCTGGCTAGTTATGCAGAGGGTGATTAGTTCTAATTGCTGAATTCATAGCATCTCATTAAGTTGTTCAACTGGTTTTCTAGCTATTTTGCTGTTGCTGGAATGCATTATTGCCAGGGTCCTAGGGCGAGTGTCTAGGATGGTCATATTGTAACCAGACCGTCTAGGGTTGCTATCCCTTAGGTAGTGTCCTGATATTTCTTTGTCTTCAAGGTGAATTCAGCAGTTGTCGTCATAGCATCTGGTCCACAATTAGGATGCATATAGGGCTTTTGCAATTATGTTGACTTATCAAGGTTGTTCTGCCACTGGTCTCCAGGGGAGCTTCTTAGGCTGCCTGCAGTCTTTAGCGATATAGCCTTGCTTGTTGCAGTTGTAGCACTTAGGGTTCTAAGGTTTTTTGTTGTTAGGTTTAGTCATTATGCTGAGATCTATAGGTCTGCTGTGTTATCTATAGGCGGTGCTCTGGCGGGTGTTATTCCAGTTGTTATAAGGTCTGTTGTTATTCTGCTGGCTGTTAAACTTCTGTTGAGGCTGCTATTAGTACTTACGTCCTAAATTCAGGTTTTATCGTTTCTCTCCTCGTTCCTTTTGTCGTTTATAGAGGCGGTTATCAACCTTAATAGCATGTTTGACGTAGGCGAGGAAGCTAGGAGGCATCTCCAGTTTAGCTATTTCGTCTTTAATATCATCCTTAAGTCCTTAGTAAAAGGCAAAAACTTTGCTTTCGTCAGTCATATAGAGTCTTGCAGCTAATCGCCTAAACTCTGCGGCATAGAGCGTAGCTGACTTAGTTTGTCGTAGGTAGGATAGGTCTCGCTCAGCCTGTCTTTGTTCATCAGGGTTAAGGAAGAGAGATTCTAGGGCCTTAACATAGCCTGTGAAGCTGAAGAAGATGTCCTTAACTTCTTGGCTGTATTTTTCAGCAGGGTTGTCAAGCTATTCCTGTTGAAGGGGTTCGAACCAGGCAAGGGCTTATCCCCAAAGGAAGGTGGCTGCATATATAACGCATTCAGTGTCGTTCTGGAAGGTGTTTATATAGAAGGCCTAGTAGGTTTAAACTTATACCAGGTGTCCTTTGAGTTGTCCTAGGGTCCTGTCGAAAGTGGAAGGCGTGTTAAGCTTGAGGCGTTCTCATCCTTCAACTAGAGTGGATATGACGTTAGCGGCAGCTTAGAGGGTGGCGACTTCTTTCTCCAGATCCTGGTTCTTGTGGGCTTATTCCTGGAGTTCGCTAAGGGCTGCAGCGTTCTGGTTGAATATTTCGCGTATTGCCTTAAAGTTGCTGTTAGTCTTGTTGAGCTGGCGCTTAAGTTCTTTGGTGTCATCCTTACTGTCTGAGTCGTCCTTTATCTTCTGGTCTCCTAGTTCCTAGGCTAGGTTTTAGGTGGCTCGTCCTCCTGAAGTGGATGAGGATCCTAGGGTAGGCGACTTAACAGAGGCGTGGGAAGACATTTGTTACGGTCAGCTATCCGACAGTAGGGTCTGCTAACAGAAGCTGGGGATTGATACGTTCTAACAGTACACTGGGTTGTGGTCGTAGGTTGTAGGTTGTAGGCTGTAGTAGATCGGTTCTTCAGAGGCCAAGGTGATCAGTCTTAGACTCAATAAGTGATTCGCAGTGAAGGTAAGCTGAGAGTATCCGTGAGGATGAATACTAAGTTGATTGCTGAAGAGCTATAGAAGTCTGACCATGAGCTAGGCTCAGGGTTATACTATATATAAGTTCTGAACAGTACCCTTTACTCTATCACTGATTCCTCACCAGGTACTAGTGAGCGCTTATTAACTGTTGGTGAGCGCTCAGTAACTTCGACTGAGCGCTCAGTGATCCACACTGCCTGCTCAGTCTTATCTTATCATCACGTGACTTATACCATAGTTCTTCCGTCTCTGAGTGAGTCCCTGTTGTTCCTGTGATCCTGCAGTACAAATGTCTTATCCTAGCCGCCTGATGCCTAAGTGGGTCGGTCAACTGTTATCCGTACATAACGGGTCGTAACATTAGAGTTCTTTATTACCTTCTAATAGGCCTACAATAAGGTTTTTAATAAGGAAAACATCAGGTCTGCTTTCTAAGGCGCTAGAATTTCACTATAGGACCTAGACCATATCATCAAAAAGCTTGATATATATTTACAGACGCCTACACCTCCTATAGCCAACCCTTCAACACCACCACCTTAGCAGTCGCAAACGCCTTCTAACCTACAACAAACCATCTCGCAGTCTAACTTTATTAAAAGTTATATCTCTACTTATTAAGGAAGCTTACTAACACTAATTATTGCTGCAGTTAAGCAATTATCAAAGGGTGCATAGGTAATAGCACACTTAATCACTATTTTGACTGATCAGCTTTATACCTTTGAGGATGTGAATATAGCACTTGCTAAGCGCTGGAGGGCTAAAAGAACGCAGGTCCAGCTTAGAGGGGCACTTAGTATAGAGGAATCTTAGGTTTTGCTTGAAGGGAAACAAAAAGGGAAACGTCTAGTATCTCGAGAGGATGAGGAGGGGGTTCTATTAAAGAGAGCCCAGCTAGCTTGGAGACGCTGTGGTGTGTATGGCGAGACCGGTCATAATGCGAGAACCTGTTCTAAGGATGTGGAATTGTCAAATGATTCGAGTAGTAATGAGGAATAGTTAATTGAATGTGTTGTGGTTGTGCAATGGTAAATACCACTACGTGGATGGGAAAAAGTTCGTCGCTAACTGATATTCGTCGCTGACTGATCAACCACGTTAGAGTTTTTAAAGAATTTTATAAATTATATAGCGGTGCCGTGTCGTACCTCCTCAAAGGGGGGTGCTTTGTAGAGGCGGCGTTGTGGGAATGGGTTAAGAGGAGGATTCGTTCGAAAATTGCATAGTTCCGCCATGTCAGGCGTGTAAATATTTCAAGCAAAGCGATTGAATATCTAAGAACCTTGAGAGCGTCGATAAGCCCCCGACCAAGCCGCCCGCGAGCCTACAGGCGATGTCTGAGCCTGTGATCAAACATCTACCACCTGAATCATTCGAACACGAAAGAGATAATGTTTTAACCTCGGATCATAGTCAGCAAAGAGCACACATCACACGCCATTTTGTGAGACTGAATCTCGAGTTACTCCATCGCTACGTTGAGTCATGCCGCGTACTTTGCGAAGAAAGGCTCAGCCCTCCTCTGCTCCTCCTCAATCACCGCAGCATGCCTCTCGGACCTCGGCCGGATCGTGATCGGAAACTTCTTGGGCGCGATCAGGAACCCGTCCGTGTACGCCGTGCCGACGTCGACGTCCACCTCCCCCTCCCCGGGCGAGAGATCGAAACCCCACGCGATCTTGGCCATGTTCAATATCTATCGGTAGAAGTCAGTCACAACAGTTCTCGGAATTACGACCTAGGGCTTAGTGCCACTCACCAGCGAGTTCCTCGCCAGCCGCTGCCCCGGACACACCCGCCTGCCCGCGCCGAACCCATACAGCACGCGCCGGTGGTCGTCGGCGCTCTCGTCGACGGGGTCGCGCGTCCCGTACTTCTCCATCACGAAGCGGTCCGGCGCGAACTCGGCCGGGTTCTCGTATTCGTCTTCGTCGTAGTGGATCGCCCACGTGTTGGCGACCAGGACGGTGCCCTTGGGGAGGTGGTAGCCCTGGTACGTGTCGTCCTGCGTGAGCATGTGCGGGACGCCGCCGGCTGCTACGGGGCGCCAGCGGAGGGTCTGGAGGTTCTGCGTTAGGTGAAGCTTCTGGAGGGGGGGAAGGGGGAAGGGGAGGGTGTCACCTCGTTCATACACGCCTCGATGAAGGGTAAACGGCCGATGTCTTCTGACGTCGGGGACCGCAGGGGGCCGCAGACCCGATCGACTTCTTCCTGTGCTTTACGGAACTCCTTCGGGTACTTGATCATCGCGAGGAGGAAGGATAGTAACGTCGAAGCCGTGGTATCCGAGCCGGCTTCCATCTGCAAACTATCAGCAACACGCACGACATTAGCTTCCCAGTCGATACACACCAGGTTCCCGGCCAGGTACGCCAAATGCTCGTCATCCAACCCATTCTTCTCCTGATCCCTCAGCATCTCCCCCAAAAAGCAATCCGGGCTCCTCCCCTCCCGGATCCTCTCCCTCGTCCCCGCCACCAGCGAGAGATACAACCCCATCTGCTCCCTCCTCACCCTCGCGGCCCGTCTCTTCCACCCCGCCAGCGCCGCGGGCACCATCTTCAAGAAGGGGAACGCGTCCACCGGCGGCGTGGCCCCCTGCTCCAGCACGGCGGTGAACTCGTCCTGCGCGGCGTACAGCGCGCGCACGTTGGGCGAGTCGAAGCGGGCGCCGCGCACGCCGTACACGGCGGCGAGGACGACGGCGCTGGTGTACCGCCGCACGTGGTCGTAGTAGCCCGCCGGGTCGCGGAGGAGGTCGGAGAGGGTCTGCGTGGCCTCGGCGTCCTGGACGGGGAGGACGGCGTCGACGCGGTTGACGGCGAGGAGGGACTGGACTACGCGGCGCTGGACGCGCCAGGCGGGGCCGTAGGGGAGGAGGAGGAGGTGGATGTCGCCCGGGCAGACGAGGGTGTTTGCGACGTAGGTGCGGGGGCGGGAGGAGTAGATTGAGCCGCGCTTGTCGAAGAGTCTTTTGGGTTTTGGGTGTTAGGTATGTTGAAGGGGAGGGGGAGGGAGGTTGACTTACTCTCGTACGTCTTTGTAGTTGTTTAGGATTACGAAGTTTTGGGAGCCTAGTTTGAGGCCGATGATGGAGCCGAAGGTGGCCCCGAGGTCGTGGAATCTTGGGGTTTCGCTGTTAGTATGGGGATGGAACAGGTGCGTTCTAAGGGTACGCACTTTAGGAAGCCCTTTGATTTCGGTACTTGGGTGATGTTTCCCAGGAAGGGGACTGTCCGAGGGCCTGGCGGGAAGTTCCTGGGCCGGCAGCTCGCGAGGAAGAACCTCGAGAGCGTGGAGACGGCGAGCGCGAAGAGGACGCAGAGACCAACGGTCCCTCGCGAGAGGTCCAGAATGCCGGTTGTGCTCATCTCGACAACACCTCTCAATCGATGCCACGACGGAGAGATGCGAGTGAAAACGCATCGCGGGGGGATGTTTTGATACCGGTGAATATCTGCTGGCTTACCGGCGGGTCAGAACACTACGCCGCCCAGAGGTATCAAACCTTCCCTTCACGCCATCCGTACGGTTTTCTCGGCCTCGGGGCCCCATGCCGTACTCGTAACCATCGGAGGTTGCTGGTGTGGTGTGGGTGGGTTGGCCGGGGTGGTCTCGGAGGGTCTGCAAGAGACATGGATCGTGCAGCCGAAGGGCCGTCTCCGTCTCACTGCATGGCTATATTGCCACTCGCGACCTCGCCGATTGAGCTTAGCCATCGGCGTTCGTGTAATCTGTCATGCTCCGCTCGCTGCTATGTCTCGGCAACTGGGGGGGGACTCTAGTCGGATCGGTCTGGAAGGATTGTGAATACGGAAGCCTAGAATGGCCTCATCCTGTACTGCATCTGCCGAGTCGGTCTAACACGCCGACAGGGTCTCGGAACGAGGAACACGATGATGTAACACTTTGATCCCATCACATTGGATAGCTTCTCTGTGTGTCTAATTCGCGGACGCGGGTCTTCACGGCGTCTTCAGCGCAGCCCTCTCCGCTGCCAACTCCTCCACGTTTCCCACAACCACGTCCATGGGGTCAAACCCGGCCCCCTCCCTCTGCAGTTCCGCCGCCCTGGCCTTGTACCTCCCATCCTCGAGCACCTCCCCCACGGCCCGCCGGAGCTGCTCGACCGACGGATCCCCCGTCCTCAGGTCCACCCCGACCCCGGCCCACGCCGCCCTCGCCGCCGTCTCCGGCTTCTCCTCCGTCGCGGCGGCCACCACCAACGGCGTCCCGTTCCGAACCGCCCGCTGGAACGCCCCGTACCCGCCCGTCGTGACGAAGACGCCGCAGTGGGGGAGCACCTCGTCGTACGGCACGTAATCCGTCACCCTGCAGTTGGGCGGCACCTCCAGGCCAGGCGGCAGGCTCGCGCCCTTGCGCCCCACGGCGACCACGACGAGGACGTCCTCGCGGCCCGCGAGGGCGGCCATCGTGGGGATGACGAGCTGCGTGAGGTCCATTGCCACGGTGCCCTGGCAGACGAAGACGAGCTTGCGGGCGGCAGCCTTCGCGGCGACGACCTCGGGCCACCAGGCCGGGCGCGGGTGGAAGGGGTCCTTGGGACCGTTGGGGTAGCCGCCGGAGAAGCGGAGGCCCGGGGGCGCGTCGGAACGGGGATACTCGACGCTGGGTACGCACATTTGCACGAAGCGGTCCGGGAGGTGGTAGAGGGCGTCGAGGAGGAAGGTTTCCGGTTCCCGCGCCGCGCCCAGCTTCGCGAGGGCCTCCGCGTAGGAGGACTGGGCTGCGGCGAAGGTTTCCCTTTGAGCGGCGTTGGCGGCGGCGTGCTGAGCTCGGCCGGCCGGGGAGGCATCCGGGGGCAAGCCGGAACCGAAGGGCGGGTGGTCGATGCTGGAGAGCATCATGGGGTTGAGGCCGATGACTATGTATCCCGTGGGACGGAGGCCCGGCGCGCCGTGGAGGATGGGCATGGCTGCGAAGTTGAGGCTCTCTGTGAGGAGGATGGTGGGCCGTCCCGGGTGCTCTGAGGCGAGCGTTCCCAGGGCGGTTTGGAGGGCATGGTGCTGCGAGGGGATGGATCTGCAGAATATGTGTACCAGGTCGTGGATGAAGCAATCCGTGCCTTCCGAGTGCTTCTTGCCCTCGGGCCCTGCGGATGGGTGTGATTAGCATTTGCTCCGTGGTGAGTTTGGAGGGGGGAAATTCGGTTTGGAGTGATTAGATACATGGAATATCGACACTATTTACACCGCCATATGACATAACGGAAGCACTTACAGGACGGGTCCAGATCCCACGAAGTCAGGTCATAAAAGTCGCCGTACCCTTCGACCGAGACGAACGACGCGCCGGCGGCCTCTACGCGTGGACGGTAGCCCGAGCCGGTCACGAAGCAGACGTCGTAGCCCCGCGAGACGAGCTGCTCCGCTATCGTCAGCATCGGTATGATGTGGCCCGAGACCGGCGTGCTGCAGATGAGCAGCAAGGGCTTGAGGGGCTCCAACGTGGTGCGAGAAGGTGACATGGCAGGCTGTATGTCGACGTGGGGGGGCAGGGGAGCGTATGAATCGGGCGCAAGAAGATGAGCGTCAAGTGTGAGAGGGGGGAACTGAAGGGTCCATGGGAAAGCCGGCATCATAAGGTATAAATGGACTTCCGATAAGCACTAGCTATATCGAGGTACATACCCGACCCATCTTGCATACTGTTATTGACGGAAAATTGAGCTTGGTAGGTCTGCCCCGGATGGAACATGGGCTTGATGAGTTATCCTGTTTCCTCTTCACATCACGATCTATCTCGTCTGGTAGTGGCAAGGCATCTCAAGATCAAGTCTGAAATGGCTCAATTTATAGTAGCCAGACTTTCGCATCGAAATCATTCATCAAAGATGGCAGAACATACCTCACAACAGTCGCCATTTCACTCGCTTGGCCTGGTTTTCACCGTCCAATCTCATCTTTACCAATCCAAACGAGGGACCAAGAGCTTCCTCCGCTGCCAACCTCATTCGAATCTTACATTACACATTCAAATCATACTACCGAACGTAGCTGACCTGCCAAATGAGTGAAGATACCCGAGCCAACTGATGCTCTCCGTTCAACTGACCACTCCTACTCATAATCCAAATCTACTGAACCCCCTGAAGAATGCCGCGCACAATTCTTGCGGCACATCTAAGCTCCTTAACAAACGCCCGAGTCCGCTCCTGCGAGCCGCCTGTCAAGGAAAAGCGAATTCTGCAGCAATGACGAGTTAGAACATCCCATGCAGCGTGGACTGGGGTTGCTTACCTGTCCTTCTCCGGGACCAAGATTGACCAAAACCCGTCAGTATCCGCCATGAGGTGCACAAAGTCTTGGAACATGATGTCTCCCTCCAAGCCGTTGCTCTGGGCAAAGACGGGCGGGTGAGGCCTGCCGAAGAAGACATGCTCGCCCAAAAAGCGTGGCTTGGGCGTGCTGCTGGCCTCGGCGGGCCAGAGGTAGCTTAGGACCTCGAAGAGGCGCAAGTAACTCCGGCCGTTCAACATGGTTTGCATGTCGACGTTCATCTTCTTCGTCGCGGCCGACAACAGGGCGGCTAGTCTCCCCGCCTGCTCGGACTCCTCTTGGTGCCGGTACGCCTGCGCGGCCGCATCGCAGAAGGCAACGACGGCCGGGACCGCTCTCTGAACAGCATCGGATCGGCCGGTGTGGAAGTGCGCGGCGCTGGTGGGTTCCCAGGACGGCACGTTGTGTCCGAAGAACAGGCGCAGCGCGAGCTGGAACGTGATGTCCACGACGCCCTTGGCCGACACCCTGGACCGTACGAGGAAGTCGGTCCCGAACTCGGTGAGCTCCTCTCGGACGTAGGTTGCGACTGAGGTGTTGTTGACGTATTGTTTTCTCACGAGCCCGATCCGGTTCTCGACCTCGGGCGTCGTCTCGAGGACAAACTCGTGCAGCGCAATGTGGGACGAGAAGTTTCCGTTCAGTCTGGCTGGGCTCTCGGGCAATGGCTTGTCCATGGCAGCCGAGAGCCATTCCAGAAGACGGGCGGGGGTCGTGCCGTCGATGATGCCGTGCTCGGTGATCTGGCCGGAGCGGCCGTTGGATGTCACGTAGAACTGCAACACCTTGTCGAACCAGCGGTTGGATCCGTCGCCGATGTAGCCTTGTCGAGCAATCTCCTCGCTAGTCTCTGGGGAGCCATCATCCAGGCATAGAACGCACATTGCAGAGTCGATGGCGTGGAAGTACTCTGCGTTGGCAGCGCTCGCCGTCGCCAGCTTTTCTCGCATCTGAAAGGACTGTTAGTATTCAGTACAAGAAGTGCATGAATGACACTTACAACAGCCCACGAGTCTCTATCATCTGTGGTCAGGATGCTAGTCCAGAGGTGGTCCTGACCAACCTTTGAGACGATTTCTTCAAAGGTCGCCACCAGATCAGAGAATGACAAGTCTTGTCCGTCCCGGTCCTGGAGCATGACCTTGAACAAGTGGCCTCTTCTCAGGACGGCGATGTGATCGAGGGCGTCTTTCTCGTCCGAGTCGAAGCTCTTCATCGCGTCGCACCTGAGCTGTGGTATACGAATCGAGTTGAACAGCCAGCCCCATCTCCACGTGCACTCTGGTCTGCCCGCGACCTCGAGGGGCTTGACTTTTCCGGCCTTGACGGCCCGCTTGAATGACAAAGAAGACGCGATGATGGTGGCGGCACGCTCGGCCTGCGACTGAGGAGTCTTCGCGTCGCGGTGTCCGCCCATAGTGCTGGCATACGGGGCGATTGGGGACCTCCTGCACAGCCAGCGAGCGTCCGTGACGATCTCGTTCAACCAGCCATTGCTCTTGTCATGGCCATGCTCCTTGACCAAGCCGTCAAGAATCTGTCGAGCAGGGCCGTCGGGGGCTCGGAGGGCTTCGATGTCTTGATGGACCTCGAGAAGTTGGTCAGGGTCGTAGAGATGCTCGTTCGCCTCGAGCCAGAAATCGAGAGCGTCGTCCAACTCGGGAATTGGCTGGACAGGCAGATCTGCGCTCAACTTGCAACAGTCGTATCCATGCTGACTGGCATGTTCACCTGAGGCTTCGAGGCTCGTGTCATCTTGACCGCCGTGATGATTGGCGTCACCATTGCCGGCGGCCGTCTTGCCATTGACCCTGCACTTTAACTCCATTCTCGATACGATGAGGTTGGCGAGCGCCATGATGCTTCGTGCACCACTCAACTCGGATGTCTGCAACGGCGCCTGGAAGGTGTGTCGAACCCAGTTCTTGAGTTCGATGGAAACCAAAGAATCCAAACCGAGCGTCGCGACGGGTTGGTCGTCCGGGACCTCGCCGCCCAAGAACGCGGCAAACTTGTCGAGCAGCGCCTGCTTGACGATCTCCTCGGCCTCCGCAACGGTCTCGACCTCTTGGACCGCCTGGGTCGCGCTGGGCTTCGCGTTGTCGACTTTGGTGTTGTTGGCCGTGCCGCCGCGCCTTCTCTTGCTGGGAACGTGATCAAAGAGGTGGTCGTTGAGGACCTCCGGTCCCATGCCGTCTTCCATCGAGTCGCGGTCGAAGGGCATGATGCACTGCGAAGCGCCATCGATCCGAGACTGGTCACCCATGGCGTACTCGAGCGTGGCGAAGAACTCGTCGAGCGTGACCGAGCCGCCGTACCGGATGAAGTCGCTGCTCGCGCGGGCGATCTGATCTGAGCCTTCGACGGCGCCGACGTTGATGGTCATGTAGTGGGTGGTTCCCGAAGCTCCCACACTCGAGGCGTGAGCTTGCGCGAAGGCGTCTTGGAAAGCACAGCCTGCCGCATAGTTGCTCTGGGTGGTCAAGCCGATCTTGCTCGTGACGGAGGAGAGCATGATGAAGAAGTCGGTCGTCTCAGGGGAGCAGAACGCCTTGTCCATGTTGAGAGTGCCTTGGACCTTGGGATCCACGGCTGTCCTCCAGTCTTCAAGTTTCATGTACTCGAGGGGGTGATCGCAAAGAACTAGTGCCCCCTGGATGACGCCCTTGACCGGTGGTAGCTTGCGAATCTCTTCCCTGGCTGCAAGCGTGCTTCTCTCGTCTGTGATGTCGCACTTGACGATGTGAAGTCTACCACCCAGCCTGACGATGGTCTCTTCGAATGGCGCCCGTTGCTGAGCGTCGACGTCTCGTCGTGTCAGTGCAACAATGTGTCCTGCCCCCTTCTCGGCCAGGAACTTGCTCATCTTCTTTCCAAGATCGCCGAAACCACCGCCGATGACATACGTCCCCTCTTGATGCAACCGAAGCTGCTTTGGCTTCGGCTTGGTTGCTTGGACAATGGTGTTCTCATCGGCCACCAACACCAGTTTTCCGATGTGCTTCCTCGTCGCGATGAGACGGAAACATTCCTCGATGCGACTCATGTCGTACGTGGTGACCGGGTACACGGGCTTCAACAGACCGTTTTCGATCATGTCGAAGATCTCCTTGAGCCCTCGCGTCATGTACTCCGGACGGAGCCGGTACATGTGCGAGGTGTCCACGGCCGCAAAGGTCGCCTGCTTCTCGAAGTTGGCCATGTTCAGCTGGCTGCGTGCGTATATATCCGCCTTGCCGATCTCGAGAAACGTGCCGAACGGGGCAACGCAGTCCCAACTGTCCATCAGGAGCTGGCCGGAGAGCGAATTCAGGACGACATCAACGCCTGCGCCCTGCGTCGCTTCCATGATGTGTTTCTTGAAATGGCTAGAATGTGAAGAGAATATCTGGTGCTCCGGCACACCGTATCGATCCTGGATGAGCTTCTTCTTGGCGATGCTGCCCACGGTGGCGAAGATGTTGGCCCCGACCAGCTGCGCGAGCTGGATGGCAGCTTGGCCGACACCTCCCGAGGCCGCGTGGATGAGCACACTCTGGCCTTTCTCGAGCCGGGCACAGTGCGTGAGAGAGTACCAGGCCGTGTAGTAGATGATGGGAACGGACGAGGCGTCGACGAAGCTGACGGAGTCGGGTATCGCGACAACTCCGTTGCTGTTGACGCGGACCCGGTTGCCAAAGGCCGCCACCATCAGACCGACGACTCTATCGCCAGGCTTCCACAACGACTGGACATCTGAACCGACTGCGGTAACGACACCGGCAACCTCGCCGGTCATTGCAGTGCCGGGGGCCATCTGGCCCAACGCGATGAAAACGTCTTTGAAGTTGAGGCCGTATGCGCGAGCTTGGACCTCGATCTGATCGGGACCCAGGGGTTCGCTCATCTTGTCGTTGTCCACAAAGCGGATGGTGTTGAGCAAACCGGGCACCCGAACGTCAAACATCAGAGGCCGGCTGTCGTCGAAGTACTTCCAATCCACGAGTGTTCTGGAGCCTTCCTCATCGTGACTTTCATCGTTGGAGCTCTCGACGAAGTCTGCGAAGCGGATGTCGGGTACAATCCTGGGAATAACGAGTTTGTCATCGCGGATGGCGTATTCTGTTTCTACCGCTCCTCCCGAATTTGACCAGAACGACGAAATGGCGAAGTCTGTTAGGGCTTTAACGACGTGATGTACGTCTTCGCTGGAGGGTTGAATCTGTTGCTGCACATCGACCGTGATGAGTTGGATGCCGGGGTTCTCGCGCCTGAAAACCCTAGCCAGCCCATTGACGATGTTCTTCCGGGATTCGCTCTCAACCGAGGCTTCAGTATCTTGGAAGCCGACCCACAAGATGTTCTTGGTCTGAAGCAGAACTTGCTTAGTCCACTCGAAGGTTTCGTCCTTGGGATCTAGGAGGACAGGATGAGAGGCGGGGTCGAGAACTATCAACAATCGGTCTGATTCTGCGCCAACCTTGTCGGCCACGGGAGCGCCAGTCTTTATCGAGACTTCCTGGTTGCACTCAACGCCTTGCTGAAGCAAGGACTTGCAAAGGAGATCCTGGAAAGCAGTTTGAGTTGGGTCTGAATGCCTGAGCATCACACTAGCTCTCAAGCTGGTGTCCGTAGAATTAACAGCTTTGCTGACGATAAAAGTGCTGATATCCCTGGAACGGCCAAGATGAGCTGGAATGGCCAGGTCGGTGCCACTGAAGCCATGGCGCTTCAAGAGACTGTCCCACTTAGGAGTGGTGAGGACTGGCCCGTCCTTTCGTCCGTCTTGAGACAACCACCAGCCCTCCAGTGTGCCGAAGATACCGTTGTGGGCGGCATAGAGACGCGTGAGCTCCATGAGGACAAGCCGACCACCCGGCTTCAGCAGCTTGCGCACGTTGGCCATCGTGTCATCCATAGAAGGTGTCGCGTGCAACACAATGGAGGCAACGATGAGATCAAAGCTTTGGGCAGTGAACCCCTGAGAAAGCGGGTTGCTTGAGATATCCAACGTCTTGAAGTCGATTTTGTCTGCCCACTTGCTGAATTTCGCACGCGCCCGCTCGAAGAATCCCGAAGATATGTCGGTGTATGTGTAGTTCGCCAGGAGAAGCTGGCCGTCGCGCTCGCTCTTCTCCATCAGCGGCATCGTAGCGCCGCCGGTACCAGCACCAATCTCCAAAATCTTCATGTTGGGATCCTTGTGAACGAGAGTCTGCATGTACTCGCCCATCTGTGCATAGTGGCAGCTGAACGGGGCGTAGTCGGAGTACAGCCGCCCGAGCAGGTTGTCTTCCACGAGAAGCTCGAGAGGTTCTGCCCTACCCATAAGTATGTCGATGTACTGCGGCCCGAGACGGGTCAAGGTGTGGCCCAAGATGTTGGAATCACTGGCCTGTGCTATGGTCTCAGCCTCTTTCTCGGGGGTCATCCCTTCCAGAAGCGGTCTCGCGTCGACTTCGTCCCATCTGCGCATCCAGTCGAGGAGCTGCGTCAGATGAGGACTGCTTGCCTCGGAGACTTGGTCTTGACGTAGACGTTGAACTGCTCTGCGGATGAAGATTGACGCGACTTGATCGTTGAGGTGCAGTTGCTCTTCGGCAGGCTGCGTTCTGATCGTCCCGTACCCGACGTCGAAGAGATCGCGGCTGGAAAGATGGTCCATGAAACCGGTTTGTGTGATATAGTCGACATCGGGCTTCCATTCCACCAGGTAGCTCGTTTTCTGGTGAAAAAGATTGTTGCTTGAATCGGCATTGCCAACGGCTTGTGGGCGGATGTCTTTGCTCGTGACCACAGGTCGGAAAGTCCCATCCTCAAGTTGTTGATACGCGCAGAAGTCGACGACCGCTTCCCGTCGGCTTTCCGGAACCAAGTGTAGGGCCACAAATATCTCAGAGCCGGGCTTGCTGCCCATGTCGAGAGCAATAGACAACTCGCCGAGCGTCACGGGCATTATCGGGGCGACGACGCACTCGCGGCGGAAAACCACGGCTCCGAGTTGGATGATCGCGTCGAAGGCTGTGGGGTGAATGGTGTGCGGCTGCATGTATTCGGCCGGCATCTGTTTCGCGACATCGTCGATGACGATTTTGGCGAAGCCGTGGTTCTTGGAAACGCGAATATCTTTGAGTCCTTGAAAGCTGGAACCGTATTCGTTCCCGGATGCCGCAAGCTCACGATATACCTTCGCGGTGTCGATCGGCTCGAGACAGGCGGCCCTGACGTCCTCTAACACGGCCGCCGCCGCCGACTTTGTGAGGTGACCGAGGCCATCGTCGCTGGTTCCGAGAACTTCCTCGACTGCAGGCTGTGCCGCTCCGAGTTCGATGTCCAAGGAAGCCTTACCAGTGCAGTTCTCGGTCCAGAGGTCGTTTTCAGCATCGTAGGACAGGATGCGGAAAGACTCCCACGTACTGGCCATGTGCTGACGCTGCGGGCTGATGACAAGCTGCATCTCAACTTCGCGACTCTTGTTCTCGCCCACTTGGTGAACCACGACCGGCTTTGCGAAGGAGACATCGCGAAAATTGACGCTTTTGACGTTTCCTGGGGTCTTCCGCAAATACGCTAGTTGTTTCATGGCCTCGATGACCATTATCAAGTAGCCCACGCCGGGGAAAATGATGAAGCCTTCTACAACGTGGTCCTTCAGCCATGGAAGGGATTCAATGCTGACGTGGTGTCTCCATCGAGGTTCGTTGGCGGAGCTGTGGATGTCGTACAGTCCGAGAAGATCATGGCGAGGGAACGGGCGCAGGCGGTTTTCCTTGCTAAGCCTCGACTCGTGCCAGTATGTAGAGCTGTGATCCCACAGATATGCTGGAAGGTTGTCGACGACTCGTTGGCGAGGCTTTGAGGTAAGCTCTCTGTCCATGTTTGTCACCGCATCTAACTTGGTCGAGTGTCCGGCCTCAAAAGCCCTACCAGCCAAGGCCAGGATAGTCTTCGTAGCACTCTCGTTGCGGACCAGGCAAGGGAGGTAGGTGTACTTGAAAGCTGCTCCCGAAGAGGTCTTGAAACCGCCCAGAGACTGTCTCAGCGGCCCGGAGAGTGCGGAGTGCGGTCCGATCTCAATGAGGATGTTGCTGGCTGTAGAATCAGCGGTCGAGAGGTGCTCTGCAACCGACTGTGACGCCGCGCTGAACTTGACTTGAGACACCAGGTTGGAAACCCAATAAGAAGGTTCAAAGTCGGAGAGTTTCCGGTTACCGGTGACAGAAGAATAGAAAGCAATCTTCTCGTTGGGGGCATTCCCAGACATACCGGCCAAGGACGACAGATAGGAATCGGCCACCGTCTCCATGTGATGAGAGTGGTAGGCTGAATCCACTTTGAGACGTCTGTTGAAGACAGATGAAGCATCCAGGTTGGCTTGGAGCTCTTCAATCGCCTCCACGTCTCCGGAAATTGTGGTGCTCTCGGGGCTGTTCACACAAGCCACCACAATCTTGCTGCTGCCCCGGCTGAGCGAGTTGATTCTCTTCTGCACGGCGTCTTCCCCTTCCCCCACAGCCAGCATCGTACCAGCTGTTGCGTTGAGGCTTCTGGCTTCAGCGGACCAGATGCCGCGATTGTAGGCAACCGAGATAGCGTCCTCCTTCGAAAGGGCACCCGCAGCATAAGCGGCGGCGATCTCCCCAGAGCTGTGGCCACAGACGGCCTGGGGATGAATGCCGAAACTACCGAGTAGATCGACAAGTGCAATCTGGATCGCCGTTGTAGATGGCTGCGAAAATCTGCTATCACCGAGGCGTGTTGTCTTCATGTCGCGCGACAGCTCATTGAAAAGGCTCCAGTCGCAACCAAGATCATTCAAGATTCGGTCGCAGGCGGCCAGCGAGTCTTGGGACACCTTTGACCCCGACAAAAGCTCACGGCCCATGGCGAACCACTGGGCTCCTTGACCGGTGAAAACAAAGGCGACCCCGACATCTTGTGCAGACTTGACCAGGGGTACTCTCGGATCTCCCATGGCCATTTCAAGCTCTTCGGAGTTGGACACGATGGCACTGCAGCGCCAGGGAAGCTTTGAACGGCGGACGTTCAAGGTGTAAACCAGGTCGTCAAAGGATGTCGAACGTCCCAGGTCTGATCCCAGCCATCGCCGCAAGTTGACGATTACACCCTTGAGTGACGACTCTGAGTTTGCGGAAAGAACAACAAGTCTCTGGGGTGTTTCGTGCGGTTTTCCCACTCCGTTGACGCCGTTGGAGAATCCATTGGATATAGGGGTAGGGTCATAGGCCTGAATAATTACGTGGGCATTGCTCCCGCCGTACCCAAAACTGTTGAGAGAGGCGCGTCTGGGTCCAGTGTGATCTTTGGGTGCAAGAGGTTCGAGCTTCAGCGGTATCTGACGACAATTGTTAGCAAAGTCCAAATTCAACATCAGAAACTTGTTTGCCAGTCGTTCCATGCCTACACGTCTGACTTTGGCTGAAACTTCGAGGCTTGACAATTCTTTACTTACTCTGATGCCCCTTTCCGCGAGATGAAGCGAAGGCTTTGGGTTGATTAAGTTCAGCTGCGGAGGAATCTGGTTCTTTTTCAACACCATTATAGCCTTCAGCATGCCGGCTATGCCGCTGGACGACTCCAGGTGGCCTATGTTGGCTTTGATACTGCCCTAATAATGATAATTAGCAAAGGCTGACAGAAAACGAGCCTGCGACTGCGGAAGTGGAGGGTTTCACGAGACTTACTATGGGCAAGTCAGACTTGCGGCCTGCCTCACGGCCAAAGACCTTGGATATAGACGAGACTTCGGCATTGTCACCTTTATAAGTTGTCAGTCAGTAATAATCCTCATGTTGAGAGATAACTGCAACTTACCAGCCGCAGTCCCGGTTCCGTGGGCCTCCACATACAGAGTCTCTCGAGGATCCAGACCAGCATTCGCGTAGACCCTGCGGGCTAGAGACTCTTGTGCGTCCGAGTTGGGCAAGAAGATTCCACCTGTCTTGCCATCATGATTAGAGCCTGATTCCATGACAATCGCATGAATGGCGTCTCCGTCGGCGATAGCCTGCTCAAGCCGCTTCAAGACGAGAACGCCAAGTCCCTCGCCTCGCGCATAGCCGGCGCCACGATCGTCAAACGTGTAGCATCTCCCATCTTTATTGGTGAGGTTACTAAACGAGCCAGTCAGTGAAACGTAATGGAAACTTTTGGGACTTGAAACACCTACAACATGGTCATCGACTGGTCGGGGGTCAAAAGCAGTTGGCTGGCCCCTGCAAGGGCGATCGAAGCTTCGTTTGCCTTCAAAGTACGACACGCTTGGTGCACCGCCACAAGGCCGCCGGACTGGAAACGTTAACACGTATGATCCTAAAAACTACAGCGCCGCATTACTTACACATCCTGTATCTAAGGTGTTGGAGGTGCCTTTGAGATCCAACAAGTACGAGATCCTGTTGGCTAGAATGGCGTCACCTGACCCTGTGCTATGTTGTTTGTGCATTTGAGACGTGTCTCGATATCCCATTCTGTCATAGTCTCGAGCAAACATGGCCATGTGAACCGAAGTGTCTGAACCACGAAGGTCTTCGATCGGGATGCCGGCATTCTCGACTGCCTCGTACGTGACCTCCAGCAGAAGCCTTTGCTGAGGATCAATTCCCGGAGCCTCTGCCCCAGGAACACCGAAAAATCGGGCGTCAAAAGCCGAGATGTCCTGATCCAGGAAATATCCATGGCTGAAGTTGATGGCCTCCTTGGCGTTTGTGTCCTTGTGGTAGAAAGACTTCCAGTCCCATCGATCCTTTGGAATTTCTTTTCGTCCATCTCTGCCTTCAGCTAGCATAGACCATAGGCTTTCTGGATTGTCAGCCCCTCCAGGGAGACGGCAGGCCATTCCAATGATGGCAATTTGGCTAGTGGCACCCATTTTCACTTGCTGAACGGCGAAATCTGATGTGACGGGACGTGTAAGGGGTGAATGACAGAGAAAAGCTTGTATCAGAGTTTGGTTTCGCTAATAAGATGTGAAAGTCCCCAAGTCAATGGCGAAAGGTGATGCAAGCCGGCATCACTGACTGCTTTGAAACAGGTAGTCTCGTATGTGACGACCGACGCCTTTGATAGGTGGGCTGCTGTAAGACCAGTACACCACTCAGGATTCACGATAGCTGCGAAGCAGTCCAGAATAGACCCCCGGCTAAGTCATGCATTAGGAGCGGGCCGTTGCCGACTCCATTGCAGGGCTCAGTCCGCAAGCTCATTAGTGGAGCAAAAAGTACGACGCTGACAGGTTACTTCGGTTTCTGCAGCTTAGCTCGTTTTTTATCTTGCTATCCAGACACCTCCTCCCTCTGCATCGGATATAGAGCCGACCGATGACATCCGCAGCGCCACGATGGAAGACAAGGATGTTCGGGACGGGGAAGACAGCGTTGCAGGGCTGGAAAGCTCGCCATTGCAGCTTACTGGTAGCATTGCGGATAGAGGTGGCGGATATCCGACTTTATCCACGGTGGAGCCTCTCCAACCTGGTTACTGTTGTCAGTTCGTCTAGGCTCCAGCCTTCCATCGAAGAAACATCTTGGCGAACTGCGCAATATATTGTGGGTTTTCCAAGTCAGTCATTCCGAGTGGACGAACACAATCGACGAGTTGCTGGCTCTTTTGTGGGTCATTTCACTGCTTAGTCCAAAGGCATCTCGTAGATTCCGAGGAAAGTCGAACGAGACACGCATACGAATACAAAAAAGGGGAAGAACCCGATGAAAGGTACCCTGGGTTAGAGATTCCTCATGCTCACATCGGATTGGGATCTCATCCAGACGGAGACGGCCAAGACTATTCCCCACTACGAAATATTGCCTCCGTTAAGCTCACTCCCATTTCTTTCTGAAGAATTGATTGATACTCGGTTGTGTCGGCGACAACCCGTCGGGAAAGCAGCTGGTTGATTACGTTGACATCCTCCGAAACACCCACCCTCCAAATTCTTCTACAATGGAACGAATTGACATTCATTGCCATGCCGTACCTGCGGGGTATCGTCAATATGCGCTCGATAACGGTCATGAGAAGCCCGACGGGATGCCAGCCCTCCCTGTGAGTGTATCCCGTCTTACCTGCTGCTTGACTTTCTAATCGTCTCAGGACTGGACTCCGGAGGAGCACATTGCGTTGATGAAAAGTTTGAACATCAGCAAGTCGATCCTCAGCATAACGTCTCCGGGGACACACCTTACTCCGAACCAGGACCGACATGCTGCAGGGATGACTCGTCAGACCAATGAGGAGCTTGCTGCCATTTGCAAACAGCATCCCTCCCACTTTGGGTTCTTCGCGTCTTTGCCACTGCCTTCCGTCCAGGAGTCCGTTGCAGAGATCGACTACGCGCTAGATGTCCTAGGTGCAGTAGGATTCGCGGTCATGTCTAACGCAAGTGGGGTTTATCTCGGAGACAGGGCCCTTGATCCTATTTTTGAGCGGCTCCATCAGCGGAAAGCCATCCTCTTCATCCATCCGACTACATGCAACTTGCTAAGCGCCGGTGGCCAGGTGCAACCGATGAAGCCGCTCGAAGAATACCCTCGCCCAATGATGGAATTCATGTTTGATGAGACGCGCGCCATAGCCAACTTGCTCCTCTCAAGCACGGTATCCAAATACCCCGGCATCACCTTCATCATGTCTCATGGGGGCTGCGTGCTGCCCTCCATTGTGGATCGCATCGGCGCCTTCGCAACTTTCAACGGAGGCGAAAACAGAAGTGAGGAATTCAGGGGTTTACTTCGAGAAAGGTTCTTCTTCGACATGGCCGGCTTCCCCTTCCCGGACCAAGTCCATGGGCTGCTCCGGACTCTGGGGCAAGGTGGAGAACAGAGACTTGTCTACGGAAGTGACTATCCATTTACCCCTGGAAAGGTCGTCCTAGACTTGGGCGCCAAGATGGACCAAGGATGCAAGGAGCTATTTGACGAGGACCAGAGACAGGCTGTGTATTCGGGCAATGCAGAAAGAATGCTCGGACAACTCTGATGGCGTGCTAGTTACGGCGTGTCAGTAGTTTATTTCGGCGACTTCTGCACCGGAACCTCCGAGGGCCACCTTCTCCTTCAAGTCAGAAAACACGTATTGTTGATCGTTGTAACTCCGATGTGACCGTCAGCTCCGTGAAGTTGCGGTCCGCTCACTGCAGTAGACTGCGGCCCGCGTTAAAGTGTTGAGTTGCATTGACCCCACGTCAAGCATGCAGGGTCAGGTAGGACCCATGTCTTCAGCAGTATGGCAAGAGACCACAGTAGTGCTGACCTCGGTGTGGTGGGGTTTGGCATCGTCACTCCATGAACCAATCGACCGCAATCGGTCGCGATAGCTTAAGCATGACCTCGACTTTTGGGGGACTTTGCCAACCCCAGAAAGCGAATATCCTGGAATTCATGCTTTTACGCCAATCCTCAATTTATGGACGGACGCAATCGGCCTGATGCCACTTGAACTTGTTTAAGCTGTCTCTACTCGTTTCCGGAGCCGGCATACATCATACAAGACTATTCGGAATCGAGACGTTTCTAAGCGCCAATATCAATGTCTAAGTTGAAGGAAAACTACTGGGTGCTCTTCGGGGGACAGGGTTCACCGTCTATCTTTTCTCCTGGAGCGTCCGCGATCGCAGAGGAAGACGCTCAGTTGTCTCCTGCTGGCAGCATCCTCTTGTCAAAATGTCATGCAGCTTTTCTGCAAGAGGTTGAGAGTCTGGACGCCGCATCTCAGGAGGATCTTGGCATCAATTTGACGTTCTTCTGCTTTCCGCAGAACTTGATCAAGCCGAATGAACGTTATCACGCACACCCAGTGCTTCAAGCAACCACAATCTACCTTTGTCAACTTTTCCACTACCTCGCCCAGTCGCAACGTTCCAATGAACCCTTCGAAGCCTCATTCGACAGAATCAGAGAGACCACGGGCTTCTCTTCGGGTTTCATCACCGCCACCGTTGTTGCCCGATCGTGCAGCCTCGACAACCTCGTAGCAAATGGTGTTGAAGGATTTCGGCTCGCATTTTGGATTGCTTGTCGCTGTCACTTCCGGAACCTGAACGCCAATTCAAACCGCTCTCCCGATAGCAATGGAGTTAGGGGAAACTTGGATGCAACATGCTCTCTCGTTATCCGAGGTCTCTCATCGGCTCAGGTGGAAGAAAAGCTGTCGAAGCATTGCGCCACGCGGTTTTCCAGCTTGGGCTCATCGTACCAGTCGACTTCACAAAGCCTTCATGTTTCCGCCATCTTAAGTCCCAGCGTTGTGGCTGTCTCTGGTCCCAAAGAGGAACTCGCTGCATTCGAAGCTGAAGGCGTGTCTGCCTTTGCAACAAAGTTTGCCCATGTACATGGATGGTACCATGGAGGCAATCAACTCGAGGTTGTCGTTGACGAGGTTCTTGAAGATGCTCAACGTCGAGACATCGTTTTCTCTACCTTGTTTGCGCCTATGAAGCCCCTCCGATCAACTTTTGACGGGACATTGATTGACGCATCAAACCTCGACGCGGTCGGTTTTCTGCAACTGCTGGCTCGACATTTGCTTGTTCACTGCGTGAACTGGCACGACACAGCTACTCAGATCACTGCAAGCGTTAGAGAGTTACTGAGGGAGGACTCTGCAGCTTGCGTCAAGCTGCTGTCTTTCGGGCCATCGTCTAATTCCTTGTTCCCAATCTTTGACCCTCCTGATGACAGGATAAATTTCATGGAGCTTTCGTCGTTCAAAGCAATTTCGATGACTCATTCAGTTGATGACCATCCGAATAGCATTGCCATCGTTGGGATGAGCGTCAAACTCCCCAACGCTCAGGACAGAAACGAGCTTTGGCAGATGCTCTCCCAAGGAGTTATTGCTGTACAGGAGATTCCGGAATCTAGGTTTCAAATATCCGATTACTACTCCGAGAAACAACCTCATCATTCACGGACAATGCCCATCAAGCACGGCGCATTCCTCAATGACGCTTTCTCGTAAGTCTCATCGCCTCTCAGCTGCTATCAGCCTTTCTTATGTCCTGGCCTAAACACTTAAGACTTATGAGTATTTGCTCATGTGGAAATGCATCACTCATCGTCGTCTTCTCTGGCCGTCCTGTAATGGTCTCCGGCGTTCACTTTTCAACTAATCAGACCACTAACTTCCGATTTGCACTAGATTCGACAACAGTTTCTTCAACATCTCACCCCGAGAGGCGATTTCCATGGACCCTCAACAACGAATTCTACTTCACGCAGCGCAGGAGGCCCTCGAAGATGCCGGATACGTCGGAGATTCGTCACCATCCTCTCAGAAAGCGACTACCGGTTGCTTCATTGGCCTTGCCACGGGAGACTACACTGACAATCTCCGCAACGACATCGACGTTTTCTACTCTCCTGGAACCCTACGAGCCTTCCATAGCGGAAGGATTTCCTTCTTTCATGGCTTCAGCGGTCCCTCAATTGTTACTGATACGGCATGCTCCTCGTCAATGGTCTCCTTGTACCAGGCTTGTCGAGCCCTGCAGACAGACGACTGCACCACCGCAATAGCAGGAGGCGTAAACGTGATTTCTAGCCCAGATGTAAGTATTTTCCCCCAGATAAACCTAAGAAGGCCTTACTTACACATGTCAGATGTATCTTGGGCTGTCACGCGGCCACTTCCTCAGTCAAACTGGAGGCTGCAAGCCCTTTGATGCGGCTGCAGACGGCTACTGTAGAGCCGAGGGATGCGTCTTGTTTATCCTTAAGCGGCTTTCAGATGCTGTGGCAGAAAACGATAACATCCACGGCGTTATACGGGATGTTATGACGAACCAAAGCGGCAACGCGCAGTCTATCACGCATCCCCACAGCCCAACCCAAATTGACCTGTTCCAACGCCTTCTTAATCAAACAAAGGTTGACC